AACTACTTGATGTAACAATTAATAAAATTTTAAATCTTATATATGTTTATTTGTATTTATAATATATTATAGATATCATTATTAAATTATTAAATAATAATTATTTAAATTATTACATATCATATTCCTCTAAAAATAAATAACCTTTTTTATTATAAGGTTGCTTATTTTTAGGTACTTTTAGATATTTTATAATATTTAATATATATTACTTATAAAATTTATTTTTTGAAAAATTTTAAATTTGATCCTATAACTATTGGTCACTTATTTGTCACATTTGATCAATATTTTTCACATTTAATTAGCTATTTATCACGTAAAAATGTAAACAGAACATGCTTTAATTGTATTAAATACTCCATTTCAATTCATTTGTATTCTTGTAAAAAAATGTCAAAACTTAAAAGAAAAAAAATTGTTAAATGCAAAGTCAAAATTGCTAAATGTAAATGCACTTCATATTCTATTGAATAAAAAATACAGGTAGTTACCTATATAAAAGAATACAGATAAATTAAGGCTGCAGAATACTTTAACTTTAATCTTAGTATAATAAAATGCTAGATAGTTGCAAGTTCAAATTAGATAACTAAAACAAAAGGAAAAAGTAAGTAACTTAGTTCTAGTCAAAGAGTTTTTTATCCTGAAGCTGAGAAGAGACTTTACAATTAAATTGTAAAACAAAGAAAATAAGGCCTAGCAGTATCTATATAACAATATAAAATAGAATGCTAGAAATCCTAAAAGAACTAAATATTATGATTCTTTATAGTAGGTCAAAAGAGTATTTTAGGATATTTTACCATTGGTTGATTGCATTTATGAAAGATATAAGTTGACTTTGTGAAGATAAACTAAAATATCTCAAAAACTTCCTGATTGAACTAATGAGCTATTAGAAAAGTTTTGTTAATTTATTGCTAATCTAAGAATTGAAAAGTTATTTGAGTTAAAAACATTTTTAATATAAACAAAACACCTGTTTGGTTTAATATAACTAGCAATTTACTATTAATCTGAAAGATAAAAAAAAGTAAATATTTGTATGATAGAAAATAAGTAAAACTGGTTTACAGTTATTCTTTCTTATACTATAGGTAGGTTTTTTTTTATAAAATTAAAATTTACTTACTATATTAACTCATTATCAGATAGAACTAAACTTCTACTGATATGTATTTTTAAAGAAAAGCAGATGCCACATAGAGAACAAATTTTTTCTAATGTTATCATTTAGTTTTAAAAAATAGCTAGATGAATTCTAATTTAATGGTAATTATTTTAATGACATATGAGTGAAAAATAGGATTCAAAAGAACCTGATAATACTTATATATGATTCTTTTAAAGGCTATTTAAAAGAATTGGTTAAAAGAAAATTTTGTGAGTATAGTTTTGATCTTATGATAATCCTAAGTGGGTTAACTAATATTTGTCAATCACTTAATATTATAATAAATAAACCATTTAAAAATTACCTTTATATAGAATGGCATGCTTAGGCGGCTTATGACAGTGCAAGAAAACAGTCACAAGAAATCTCCATTGTACTAAATTTAATAATATGTATTTATAGGTTAAAAATTTCTAGGAAAAAATTTCTGACAAAATCATCATAGGATTCTTTAAGATATGTGAACTATCAATTGATTTAAATGAATCAGATTCTGATTTAAAAATTATTGATTAAGATGACATTGATACTAATAATGATGATAATAATAATGATTATGTTAATCATGATAGTGATGATGATGGTGATTGTGATAATGATAATACGAATGATATTGATAATGACAATGATAGTGCTAGTAATTGTGTTTAATATGATAAAATAAAATTTAAGAATCTATTATAAATATTATTTTCAATTGTTTTAAATAACAATTATAAAGTTATATTGATTTAAAGTATTATGTTGCTTATTTTCAGATATAATACTATTTTCAGGATTACTTATTTCAGAGGTTATTTATTTTCAGAGGAATACGGTAATTTTTATTTACAGATTTACAAATTTTATAATAACTGGATGATAAATAAAGTTCATAAATTAATTCTAGTTAAATGAATCAAAATACCTTTATATTTTTAATATATTTATAGGTAAGAAAAAGCTAATTCAAATTTAATTTGTAAATCATTTAAGTATTATGAAATTTCAATTAAAACAAATGATACAAAAAATGATGAAATCTTTAATTATAATAATCTTTTTATAGAAGATAATAAAAATTTTATGAAAATGATAGAGATAATAAATTATTTGAAAAAAGAAAGAATAATAAAGATAATTATAATAATTGGAATGAATTTTAATAGTTATAATTTATAAATTAATGATTTTTGCAAATTTTATTTTTTTTTAACATTTTTCTTTATAACGATTACAGTCAACTCTTGATATAGCGAATTTTTGATATAACAAATTTTTTGAACAAATATAATAAAATACTCTTATTATAGTGAATTGGCCAATCAAATCTCTTAAAATCTTCACTATAGCCTTATAGCGAAGTTGAGGTCTAGGACATAGAGTTCGTTATAACAAGAGTTGACTGTATAGTATTTTTTGTATTAGTTTATCACTTGTTACATATAGTTAAGTTTTATAATGATATCATTAATAATTTCTTTATTATATATATAATTTAATAGTTTAAAAAAAAATAGATTTAAGTTTTTTACTATTTTATTGGAATTTAATAAAAAAAAAAGGTATTTTTACTTAGCTTATAATATTCTTTTATAATTTTAATAGCAGTAATTAAAATATGAATATATAATTCAATTAATAAAAATTCATTTATAAATTAATAAATAAAAGTTTAATAAAATTACTTATTATTTAATTCAAAAAAATAATTCTATGTAAAATATCTGAATTTCTTATAAAATTTTGGTTTAAAACCTTAAGAGGGTAGTTTATACGAAGAGATAGTTTAATCAATGCTCTATGATAATTATTAATTTTGATTTATATAAAATTGATTATACCAAAATATCAAAATAAAAAGATTAATTTTGATTATTAAAAAATATTTTTTAGCTTTTTTTATATAAAAATCCTTAAATTAAATCAAAAATATATAGTAGGAAATATGTCTATATTTTTTTTATAATAATTATAAAAAAATTAAGAATTTATAATATTAAATTAAAAAGTAAAATTATAAATATTTATCTATTAGATATCATATATTTAAACTATTTTCTAATAATATTTGTGATTAATGTATCAAATATTTAAATATTAAGATCATACTTTTCATCATTAATGTTTTTCAAAACAAAATAATTATGTAATTATTATTTAAAATTCTATAAAATAGATGTTGTTTTTAATGAAATCCTATATAAAAAGATTATTAAAAAGATGATAATATTAATAATAGTTTATTAGATGATGAAATATTAGATAATGAAAATAAAAAAAAAGAAGCAATAATAGAAAAAATATTTTAAACTTAGCTTAGTAAAATATAAATTATTAAATAAAATATATTTTAAAATATATCTTAAGCATTAAAATTTCAGCTCTTATCTAACTTTCTTTAAAGCAGAGATCTCCAGATCTTTTTTTTTTTATCCAAATATAAAGAAAAGAATTAATAACATATTTGATGCAAAAAAACTATGTATTGATAAATTAGTTTTGCATCTTTTTTTTTATTACTTTAAATCAATTGAAATGATATATTACATAATATAAAAAGATTGATATTTGATTTTATTATTTTGTGATAAACGAATGTCCATTATACTGAGGTGAACAACATTATATTTTTACGATGTGTGATAGAATAATATGATCATTGAATTTTCTGATTGTCTGCACGTATTACGATAATGTTATCATATCAAGATGGATATAATCTTGTATATTTGTCTTTTTGACTTAGCATATATAGTTTTCAAGTTAATTTGATGCCTTTAAGAAAAAAGTTTATGAAAAATCTAAAATATAACCGAGTAGATGAAAAGAAAGAAAACTATGATTTTAAATATGATAAATGACGAGAGTTTTATTTATAGTAAAATATATTATAATAAAGAAAACCAAAATAAAATTTTAAAAGAAGCAAAAGTGACTTAAACCAATAATTTTATTGAGATAAAAAAAAAGAATCATATAATATAATAGAAAAGTTACAATACATTTAAAAAATAAAATAATAATAGTATAATATAAGATAGATTAAAGAAAAAAAAAGAAAAAAAAAGAGAGAGCGTAGACACAAGGGACAGCAAAATCAATACGGACAAGCCGTAGCCCCAAGGCCAGTTAAACAATACGCCATTTCTCAATAAAAGTAAAATTTAAAGAATAAGATAGATTAAAGAAAAAAAATAAAAAAAGATAGAGCGTAGGCACAAGGGACAGCAAAATCAATACGGTCAAGCCGTAGCCCCAAGGCCAGTTAAACAATACGCCATTTCTCAATAAAAAGTAAACTTTAAAGAAAACCAGAACTAAAGATAAGGAAAATACTTTTCTGTTTAACGTTAAGTAAATTGTTTAAGGCTTGCCATGATACCTGAACCTGTTCTAAACAATGAGCCAAGTGTTTGTTTTGGCTTTTATATTCTTCTAAATTCTTATTGGAAGTCTCTAACTTATTTCGAACAGCATTATATTATCATACCATTTATTTAACACTGAAGGAAGACCGGAAAGGAAAGTCTTTCAAAATCTTCAGTTAAAGAAAGTTTTTTGAGGCACCACAAAAAATCTCCGTTGAAGAATACGGCCCGTTATAAAAAAAAAAAACGTGAGAAAAAACAAAACAAAACACCAATAGAAATTGCACAAAAATATGTTACATAAATTTCCTTTTTTGAAAAAACGGTTTCCGTTTCCTAGTTGACTGATCTGCATCCAGCCACACCAGCCACTTTTCACTGGTTGAGTCAAAACCAATAAAGTCGGACGCAAATCATTTTAATATCGATCTGGTTTTTTTTTTTTAGCTCCTTGTTATTGTTCATTCGTCGTCATGGTAAATCTACTTTATTTATAAAAGATTGGAAATTAACGAATCTTAATTAATATTTTTATTTATTTATTATTTATTTGGAGATAGCCGCAAAATGAGTATATTGAAAAGGCCATTAAAAAACATGGACGAAGATTAGATTATGAAGAGCGCAAGTAAAGTAATATTAATTATTTATTAGTTTTGATGATTTAATAAATTATTGATTAAGTTTAATAAATTAAGGCGAAAGAAGAAGGCTCGTGAAGCTCATAGCTCTTCAGCTTTTGCGCAAAAAGTTCACGGTATAAGAGCAAAATTATACAACAAAAAACGACATGCAGAAAAAATAGAAATGAAAAAGAAGTAATTATTGTTTTTAGCGTATTTTTTTTTCTTGAAGCGAATAATTGTTTAACATTTACTCGCTGTTGATTTACATAAATAAAGGATTAAACAACACCAGGAGAAATCAGTTAAACAAAAAGATGGACAAGGAGTACCTGAAGGAGCATTACCAACATATTTATTAGATCGTGAAGGACAACAAAGGGCCAAGTTATTATCAAATATGGTAAAACAGAAACGCAAAGAAAAAGCTGGTAAATGGGACGTACCATTACCTAAAGTTAGAGGTATCGCAGAAGAAGAAGTATTTAAAGTTGTCAAAACTGGAAAAAATAGAAGTAAGCTTTTGCAAGTTTTTTTTTTTTAAATAAAATTTTTTTTTCCTGAAAATTCATCCAAGAATTTTGCACTCTCTCCTATTTATATAGCTAAACAATGGAAACGAATGGTTACCAAAGCAACGTTTGTTGGAGATGGATTTACTCGTAAACCACCAAAATATGAAAGATTTATCAGGCCTATGGCATTACGTTATAAAAAGGCTCATGTTACACACCCGGAGTTGGGGGCTACTTTTCATTTACCCATCATTAGTGTAAAGAAAAATCCACAAAGTCCTCTTTACACTCAATTAGGGGTACTTACTAAAGGTACCGTTATTGAGATCAATGTTTCGGAATTAGGACTTGTTACAACTTCTGGTAAAGTTGTTTGGGGTAAATATGCTCAGGTCACGAATAATCCTGAAAATGATGGATGCGTTAACGCAGTTTTACTTGTTTAAAATTTCGAATTAAGAAAATAATAAATTATCGTAAGAAAAATAATGATAATGTAATAAATTATGTTAAAAATAAATAAATTCCAAACTACTCAATTCTGATTATTTTTTTCAACTTCCAAATCTTCTAAATTTTTTATACCATATCTAATTCCTCTTCCTCCTTCTCGTTCTCTTTCATAAGTATATTTTTATCGCCATATTTTTCTTTAATTCTCTTATTTCTTTTTAATTTTTTTTTTCTGATTTTTTCTCTTTTTGAATTAAACTTACTTAATTCACCGTTATAATAATTGTCTAATCTTTCTATCAAGATTTTTCTTGCTATATTTCTATTTTGTTGTAAAGATCTTGTTTTTTGACACTAAAAATTTATAAGAATTAAATATTTCGTACTTTTATCAATTTAAAAAAATTAAAAATTTTTTTTTAAAAAAAAAAATCATTTTTAACCTGAACTCTCATTCCTGTTGGAACATGTCTTAAATCTACACAATTTGATGATGTATTTATTTTTTGCCCACCGTTGCCTGATCCTTTTACAAATGATTCTATCAAGTCTTGTTCATTCAACTTAATTTCAATCCTTTGTTTCCTCTTAATCTTATCATCCTTAATGTCATCTGTTATTTGTTTCTCTATAGGATTAGTTATAATCGATTCATTGGAAAATAACGAGTTAGTCGTAGTTAAATTGTTTCTTGATATATTATTAAAATGATTCTGATTTTGGAATTTTATCGTAATGATATTTTTATCATGAATAGTATGAATAGTACGGGAAAGATTCCGAGCAACTTTGGTTTGGTACAGTTGAAGTGCACGAGATAGAAACGAACGCGCTTTTATAAGTGACATTTTCTATCAGAAGAAAAAAAAACCTATACAAGTTATTTATTTCAAGTTAAATTTCACATGATTATATATATATATATATATATATTTTTTTGGCGGAAACAGTTACGCGTCTATTTTTAATTTAATCTGAATTTCCCAAAATATTAAAAAAATTTCATTCAGATGTAATTTTCATTTAATATCTCTTTTTTTTTTTTCACTGTAAAAAAAATAGTGACGCGAAAAAAACAAAAAAAGAAAAAAAAAAAGAAAAAAAAAAAAAATGCTATTCATATAGGTAATATAAAGAAAAAAATTAAAAGAACTAATATAAGTAAAATGTCCTCTTTCCTTTTTTTTTTTTTTTTTTTTTTTTTTTTTTTGAATCTACCTATTATATATATATATAAAAAACCTATATACAATCCTATCTACAAAGTAAGTAGGATTAATATAAAATTTTCTTTTAAACTGAAAATTTTTTTGTAGCAATAATGTTCTTTTTCATATACTAGATATCTTGTTAACTAAGTAAATTTTTTTTCTTCATTGATACTAAAGTTTTAAAATTCTGAATAATATAACTAAAAATAATGATGAAAAGTGAAATTGGAAAAGGGAGTGGGCATAAAAGTGTATTTGTATATACAAGATTTTTATGAAGAATAAAAAGAAAGTATATATACAAAAATAGTGCTCACAAGACTAAAGAGAGATATATATAAATATAAAAAAATTATAGGAAAAAAAATATATATGTATTTTCAGCAGGTAACGATCGATTGCTAAAACATATTAATAATAAGATTGTTGATGCATAGCATCCAAGACTTCTTGAGAATCTTCATCCCAAGGTTTTATAACATTATTGTCACCATCGGGAGGAAACCCGCTCCATTCACCATATGGTTGTTGTTGGTAATGAGCATATTGAGAAGGAGGATGCGGATGATGATGAACAATGTTCCCATTTGGAATAACAATACTATTATGTGCGAATTTGCAATCATCTCCATAACGACAATAACCTTTAGCGAAAAATCTACAAGGAGTTGAGCTTCTAGGATGAGTTAATACTCCAAATTTTAAATCATTACTACTAATCCCGTTTCCATTTGGCACATTTGGCACTATCGCACCAACTCCATTTTGATATCCCTGTCCATTTTGTTGTACTTGATCATCATGAGAATATCGACAATTTTCTCCGTAACGACAAATTCCGCGTGCAAAATATCGACAGAGTGGTTTATCAATTTGTTGTTTATTCTCTGCGGGTGTGGTTTCGCTCACTTCCCCAGTATTGGTGTCTCTGTTGTTGTTTTGGTTAGGTGCACTACTTTCATTTGAAGTATTTGGTAATTCTTCTTGAGAAAGTTCTCCTTCTTCTTGTTCTAACACCTTTTCGACCTGAACTTCGTCACGTTGTTGCATCCTGAATCTTCAAATCTAGTTTATACTTTTTGGGAGAAAAAAAACCGTAATCTATAAAGGCAAAGGAACGTAAGTTCTAACTCTATATGTTTACTTATTAACGCATAACGATTAAAAAAAAAAGGAAAGCTTAAGTTTAATAAGAATATGTACCAGATAATGTTTTTATTCGACCGTTAAATACTACCTATTGATTATATATATTTAGGTAATAAATTTCGTATCACTGGCACTTGCTTGCTCAGTCGATTTCTTTTCTTAATACTTAAAGAGTAGATTTCCTACTTTTTAACGTTACTTTGATAAGTAGTAAAATTCTTTTCGTTCACTATGTAGGAACGTATTCTTTTTTTTTTTTAAAAAAAAAAAAAAAGAATTTTTAATCAAAAAAATAGAACCAATGCATCACGGGTTTTTAAGAAAATTTATTTTTTTTTTTTTTGCTGCGCTCGACGAAATTTATAACGGGCAAGATTAATTTCCGAAATTTTTTAATTCAACAACACGTGATGTGAAATAGTATGTCGATCACTTCTCTAAATAACGTTTATAATGTGAATTTTGCATGTGAACTCTTCAATAGACCACTCCCGAAGTTGGAACCAGCGAAGTGGCTTCACAAATTCTGCCTTTAAATGGTGTATCAAAAAAACCCTTCGACAAGGTGCATTAATAATTTACACAAAATATACACATCATCTGACGGGTATTTGCTCGCAGATCCGGATAAAATGTTTGCATTTATTTGTTTTCAATGGATTTTTTAATACTTTAAAAATAAATAATAATTATTTAAAATTAAATTCAAGGTTCTAATAACAATTTTCCAGAAGTTTTTCTTCCTTCCAAATCTATATGGGCCTGTTTAACTTCAATTAATTTGTATGTTTTCCAAATTTTAATTTCTAAGCTTTTGTTAACTACCATTTCAAGCACTTCGGCGGTGTACCTTTGAAATTCTTCCTTCGTTGTGAGGTAATTGAACAATATTGGTCTCATCAATTTTAAATTCTTTTCTGACAACCTTGAAATTGTAAAAGGTGGCACGGGGCCGCTAGCATTTCCAAATGAAATCATAGATCCAAGCCTTCGCGCACAAGCTAAGGATGTTTCCCAGGTATTAGCACCGATCCCATCATAAACGACATGTACTCCATGATTATTTGTGATCCTTTGAACCTCTTCTATCACATTTTGATGAGAATAATTGATTATATGATCTGCTCCAGCAGCTTTTGCTATTTCTGCTTTTTCTGGAGTTGAAACCGTTCCGATTACATTGGCACCGAGTTTTCTTGAAAGTTGTGTAAGAAGAAGTCCTACCCCTCCTGCGGCTGCATGGATAAGAACCCAATCATTTTTTTGTACGGCATAAGATTGCGTAACTAAAGTCCATGCAGTTAAACCCTTTAAAAAAATAGAATAGCGCGATTCAACGAAATTATAAAATTTTGAACCTTATAAATGATCAATTGTAATCACTTGATACCTGAAGAAGTGAAGCAGCGGCAAGCTTAAAATCTATTCCTTCCGGTAATTTTGCAACATATTTTGCATTAGCGGTAGTATATTCCGCATAACTTGGCGCTCCAAGGAAAACCACATGATCACCAGGACAAACATCTTTTACACCTTCGCCAACGGATTCTACAATTCCAGCACCTTCTCTGCCAATGACTGTGGGAAGGTCTAGTTTATAAAGACCTGATCTATTTATAAAAGAATTATGAATTTGTATATGTATTCATAATTATTTTACAAAATATATATATATGTGTGTGTGTGTTTCAATTGGAAATTTACCTATGATAAGTATCAATGTAATTGATCCCAATGGCGAAATTCTTAACAACAACATCGTCTTGTCCCGTAATGCTGGGATACGGAATTTCCGAATACTCTAAAACTTCAGGTCCACCCGTTCTTGTAATTTGAACGGCTTTCATTAACTTAGTTGTCATGGTTGAAAACGGAAATGTAAAGGAATTAGACGGATAAGGTATGCGTAAACGTTGTGAGAACAAATTACGACGAGCAATAATCGAACGGCCAGATATATTGGAGAAAGGGGGATGACTAATAAGTTTTGATAAAGTCAAAGTCATTTTTTTCATGCGATTATTAGATCAAATCTATCCTTTTATAGTTTCTCTTTACGCATCTGAAATGAGTGAAAGTTTACCCTATTTAATTAATTTCACATTTATCAGTACCTTTAAAATACAATTCAATTATTAAATTTTATAAACAAATTTTATTTCTATATAATTATAAATTGTCTTTTAAAATTGAACTATTACTATTAATAATATAATTATCACTATTAATAATACAATTTGATTAATAAATATGTAATTCGAAGTCCCGTGACATCATAATTCATAATTCCGGCTGGAATTAAGACTAATTTAGGCCGAGAATATAATGATTTTATTCAAAATTATAATATATTTTTATTAGAACTCAGTTAATCCGAAGTTAACCAATAATCCACCTCTAATATACTGTTCAGAGGTTACCATTTAATATTATATTCAAAATTATAATATATAAATCAATGTTATAGTATTATATAAAATAATAAAACTAATAATTAAATATTTAGGTATAGTGGTATAAGAATTGCTTTAGAAATTAATAAGGATGTGATTTATTATAGAAGATATTCCATCAGAATAGAAGTTAGTATATATTTATCCAATTCTAAAGCTAATTGAATGGAATTGTAATATTATAAAATAAAATTAATTATTCTATTAAAAATAATTAGAAAAGTTTTTGAAAATTAATAATAATAAACTAGTAAATAAAATTATAAAATACAATATTTTAAAAGAAAATAACTTTGCTAGTCTCTCTAAAGATTCTATTGAATTTCTTATAAAAATAATAAATATGATTATTAAAAATACAGTCAACTCTTGTTATAACGAACTCTATGTCTTAGACCTCAACTTTGCTATAAGGCTATAGTGAAGATTTTAAGAGATTTGATTGGTCAATTCACTATAACAAGAGTATTTTTATTATATTTGTTCAAAAAATGTATTATATCAAGAGTTCACTATATCAAGAGTTAACTGTATAGTAAATTATAAAAAAAATTATAAATATTTCTACAAAACTTATCTAAAATTTATAATAGAGTTAATATCAACATTTTAAATTTACTCTTAGAAGAATTAAAATTTCTAAATATTATATTAAATTTATCATTAATCTTTTTACTAATAGAAAAAATGCTATATTAATAAAGAATAGACTATATGATTTTTTTTAATATTAAAATCAATATTAATCAAAAAGAATATCTTTGCTTTTATTTTATATTTACTTCAATATTTTATTATGTAAAATTGATAAATTTTATAAAGAATATAAATTAAACTATATATGAATTTTTGATATATCTCAAATAATATCTCAATTATTATTTATATAAGTATCAGCTTTAAATTTTATAAATAACTCAATTAGTTTGCTAATTTGAAAGATAATCTAAAAAATATTCTTAAAGTATCTGATGAATTTTACATAATTATAAAGCAATAATCAATAAAGTCAAAACCTTAATTATTTAAATTTCTCTAAAATTTGATTTAATTACTATTAATATTAAATCTACCATATAAGAAATTTATATATAAAAATAATATGAAAATAATATATTATTAATATATTTTTAGTAATTTCGTATTATAATTCTATATATTTAATACTGATTAATTTTTACATATTTTTTAAAATTAAAGTATACAGAATTATATAAAATTATTAAATATTTAATTTATTTAATTTGATAATTAATTACAGTTACATAATTAATATAACTAATGCAAGGGTGATAATTTCTTGTGATTTACAGAACATTATAAAATTTTTTTTAAATGCATCTAATTACAACATTTATTTAAATTATTGCATAATACCACAAAATTTAAAAATTCTAAAATTTTCATAATAGAAATTACAGAATCACGTGATTTTTATAAGATCAAATTTTGATTGATAATTAAAGTTTGCATTTTACATTTGTTTTATAAATTAAGTTAGAACTTTTAGTAGATACTGTATGATAACAAGTAAAAAAAAGTGTCTATAAATATTTGTATTAATGAATATTCTAATATTTTTAAAGATAATAGAGATATTATTATTTTGTAATTTTTGTAACTTTTTAGTTGAATAGAAGTCAAAATCTACTATAGATGAACATTATTTTTCAAAAGGATATATTTAAATAAAATAAAGTTAACAAGTAATAAACAAAAAAAAAATAAGCTACTATTTCTATAATTAATAATATACTTAAATCTAAAAGAAAAGTTATAAAGAATTTAATTGAAGCTTTTTCCTTTTTTAAATATCCTTTTAGAAAAAGTAAATCAACTTCATTCTTTTTTTTTAAAAAGCATCTTAGAGAAGGAGGTGTAATTTTTCAAGTTTCTACCTTTTGTTAAATATATTTACCTAATATTTTTGATAAACATTTTTCTTTATTTTAAAATTACTTTAATCAAAAACCTGTAGCATTAATAATGAATAAGACTACAGATGATTGCTCTAAAAGTGTTATAAATACTCTTTTTTCCTTTTGTCAAAATACAAAGCTTATATCAGTTGACTTATTAGATCATATCAATAACTCAATAATGAAAGGAATATTTTTAACTATTTTAACTAATTATAATATTCTCTATTTCTTACCAAAATTATTTCTTTCAGATTTTGCAACATACATGAAAAAATGCTATAAAGAAGTTTTAAAACCAATAATGTTACAATTAATTCATATATTATATTTAGCTTACATTATAAATCTCATTGGATAAATATAAATAAATTTATTAAATTTTGAAATTATTTAAAATTTTATTTAATATTTATAATAATTTTCATTAATATATATATGTTTTTTAATAGTGACACTTAAAGAACTTATCCAAATTTTAGTCTTTTAAAGTTATTATTATCAAAAATTAAGGAGACATTTATAAATATATTAGCACATATCATGTCACATAACCTTTATATTTAAGACAGATTCTAAAGATGGTTCCTATAATTATTTTCAAATTTTAATTGAATTGCAACTTAATTGCGCCATAAGGAAATTTAATTGCATAACTTAATTGTACCATTTTTTTAATTGTGATGATCATTTTTAAGACAGATATTTAGACTTATTCAACCAGTTATTTATAACCTTTGATTTTTTTTCATAATTCATTCAATTTATCTTTAAAATATTAATTTTAGTTAATTTTTTAGAAGTAAATCATATTTAATTAATGCATTATCAATTTAATTTCTTCATCAAATGATTAATATACTGATAAGCCTTTATTATGCATATCTTATATTATGCAACTTGCTATTAATATTTTTTTTTCAATATTACAAAGTCCTATTACTATTTTCTTATTATAACATTTAAACTTTTTTCAATCACATTTACTACTTTACTATATACTACATATTCTATAATTATATTTTTAACTATATTATAAAGAGAAAATAAGTTAAATTACATATAAGAATAAATTTCTTTTTGAATAAATATTTATTTAATATATCAAGACTGTTAATTTCTCTAAAAATATTATTGATTATATCAGTAAATTTTCAGATAAATGAAGGTATTTTTTATATATCTTTTTAATTTTTTTTTTTTTAAAAAAATAAACATTTATCTAAAATATTAATAAAAAAAATTGTACTTAAAAACTGATATAAAAATAAAAAAGAATTTAAAATTAAAAAAAATTTCTAATATAAATCAAAATTAAGCATCCTTACTAATTTTATCTATCATATAATTACAACAGTTTATTGTTTTTTAGTAATAATTATAAGTATTTAACAAAATCTGATTTTAGTATTTATTAAGTTAATTTATAAGTATTTATGATGAATTGCTAAATTCTATGAAAATAAAAAATTAAATAAAACATTATATTAAATAATTATTTAATTAAAAAGATTGTATTTACTTGTAATGCTTATTTAAATCAAGTGATAATTCTATCTTATTTTATTAGAAATTACAATTAAATAGTATTTATTATATTATTTTTTTATATATTTTATAATTTATCAATAAAATAATTATTATTTACATATTTAAAGTAAACTGTAATTGTAATAACTTTATTAAATGCAATTTTTAAAACTAAAGATTCTTTAAAATATCATCAATTACTAGTTGATACTAATACGTAAAATAAAAAAGAAAAATAATTTTTGAGTATTTTATTTGAAGATGTTATCTATTATAATTAATTTAAATATAATTTTAAATAATATATTATTAATTTTAATATAATTTATTTTACTTACTAAACTGCAATATAAGTAAGTGTACTATTATATATTATTACATTAAGTTTAAAATTTAACCCATTAATATTTTAAATTAATTCTTTTATTTTTAATATAATTTCAATTATCATTCACATTTATTATTTATGTCTAAAGTATTTTTTTTTTTTTTTTTTCTGATGTGGCATTACCAGTAACTTTATTAAATTTATATATAAGGAAATACAAAGTAAATCGAAAATAATTCTATGCTAAGTATATGTTTAAAGTATTTATATTAAAATTTCACCAGAAAATATTATAAATAATGATTTAAAAATATATTGATTTAAGATAGATTTTATATTAAATGTTAATACTATTTCAATTTAATTATTGATTAATTTTTCATCTTTCAATTTATTTAAGTCTTCAGTTTTTCTGTTTAATATGCAATTAGATAAAGCTTTTCTTTTTAGTAAGATAAAGAATAAACTTAAAAATTCAAAAAATTCTAAGATTATTGAATGATTAACTTATTAAAATAAAAAACCATTTATTACTAATATTTTTAATAAAAGATGTTCAAATTTTGATAGTTCTTTTTTATTTAATTTATAAATAAGATTACTTTTAATTGATTTTTTTTTAAGTGAATATAATATATAAATAATGTTAATATATTTTAACTAAAGTTTCTTCTATTAATTTAAAATTAAAAATTTAAAATTATCTTGTATAAATTATAAATATTTTAAAACTTTTTCATGATATTTTCATCAAAATTATTATTTTTTGATACTTT